CTTTAGTGACAAAAATATCAAATTGACATTGTTAGTTTCACATTAAATCTAGCTGACTTAAGTTTCTATAAAACTATACCATATATCTCCAAACATTACACTGACATTGTCAATCAGAAATTCTGCTCCTGGAATGGTTGAAAAAATTACTAATTCCATTGATATCTTTTTTTCAGCCAGAAAAAAAAAATTCGAAAAAACTTGACAAGCCAAAAAAAAAAATTGTATGAAAATTATATGTAAAATTATTTTTTTTGTTACATCAGTGGACTATACTTCAACAAGTGTTTTTATATTACATTTTCTAATGACAAGGTAATTTAATTTACGTCATTAAAACAGTTCAACATTTTTATTTAAAAAGCAAATGTCAATGTTAACACAATATAAAGATATTTTTAACCACAATTTATATATCAACAAAGATAACATGAAATAAATGTTGTATAAGATGTCCACATGTTATAAAAATTCTGTGAAATCATAAATTGTTCATGAAAATATGTAATAATGCTAGTAGAAATATTCTAAAAATTACATGTAATGATAAGTTTAATTATAAAACACAATATACTATAATGCAAGCTAAAGAAATTATGTAAAGAAACATTCATTTGTAATAAAGTTATAACACAATGTAAACACATTATCACTTCACATAATGATTTTTTTAATTCAAGTTATGATTCACTGGATTTCATTAAAAAAAAAATATATTAATATTTGACATTAAATCATAGTTGTATGTTATAAATTTCCATATAATGCTTGTTTTAATACTAATCTTAATTCACTGCATTAAGAATATATTTGATTTGCATATCCACTGCTTTGCACAGCCAATTTTTTCAATGATAAGACCACAAGAAATCCACATCCAAAAACCATTCTAAAATAGATGTATGGCGAAAAATTTAATTGTTAGATTGATATTTAATTTTTTAATTTTTCATATAATATTTTTTTAATACATGTAGATTGAAAATTCCAACTTAAAACAATTATTTTATTTTTATGGCCGTGTTATGCTTACCTCTACTTATATTTTTGAAACTTTTTTTTTTTCGGTGTGAATTATAAAATCCATGGACCTCAAAGTAACTCTAGCAGTAGCTCCGGAGAGATTTAGCAACTCCAGCGAGATAAGGTAAATTATTCACGAAAATGTAGCTAAGAAGTGACTAGCACGTTGATGCATAAACAAAAAAAACAGTTTTCAATACACTCTATAACATCTTCAGAAATTACTTCAATATCTTCAAACTGTAATAAATATTCTTTACGACATATTTTTTTCTGCAGCCATGTATTAGAACTTTTGTCGACAAACAAAGAACTAAATGCGGTATATTGCATATATTTGCCCCCACAAAAGTCAAATTTTGAAAAATTCTGGAAATGTGCTGAATTCCATAAATTGTATTTAAAAAATGAATTAACAGAACATATTATAGTTTCAAAGTAGTTTATTGATTATTTTTTTTATGACGTCAAAAACTCGTCCGATTTTATATCATTTGTTAGAAAAAGGAGACAAAATGGACGAAATTTCAACAATTTTACCTATAGAATTTATAGAGCGCAAGTTTGTTCAGGAAAGATATTTATATATTTCATTGATATTATCATTCTACACATCATATCAAAAATTTGCGGTGATTTTTTCTCAAAATATACGTAAAATATCTATTTTCTGTAGAAATCATGGAAATTTTAAATTTACGTCATTTTCGTGACGTCATTTCAAACATATGACGTCATTGAAATATGAAAATATTCAGTGCTTTGGAGTCAGCATTTATCCCTTTGTGTTAGAATATAATTAAAAATTTCTCCGTCAAAGTTTGATTTGGGGGGCAAAATTTGGTTATTACCGAATAAAGTTCTTTGCATAAAAATTAGGACTATATTCATTTGGCGTCAGATTAACAAGAAAAGTAGACGCCTGTTACTGACAAATCATCTGAATGACAATGAGAATTGCATTGAGGTATACTATGAATACTACAGGAACTATACTTTAGAATTAAAAACATGTTTCTAATGTCAATCGAAAGACCCAAAAGAACATTTTTACATGCATTACGTAAATGAAAGAAAGCATTTCGAAAATTGTATTTTTTCTCTGTTCACAATTAAAACAATTTGTTAAATTCATTTGTTAAATAAACATTGGATTCAAGGTTTCTAAAAATCATACTGCAATTTAGGAGATTAAATCTATATTCTTTTGTTTTAGTATTGGTGAATACAATTGTCATGTGGATTCCTGACCATAAAAATGCAACCATGGCTTTTATTATATAAAAATGTGATTTTTAACCCACCCCTACCCTTTTCTGTTTAATTAAGAAAAGCCTGGAAACACAGTTTTCGTAGGATTTGATTTTTGTGAAGAAACACACTATAGGAATATTCTGTTTACTGTCTATTTTACTTAATAAATCAGTTTTTCCCTATAACTTTTTGACTGGGTAAAAGTTCATCATGTGTATTGAATCTAAATCACAAAAGCATTTGTAAAAGTGATGCTGATACATGAATAACTTTGTACATGTAAATCTGTCAGCTTTATTCTAGGCAGATTATAACTTGTCTGTTTAAGATATGGTTGATTAATACAGTGTTAATATTGATTGTACCCTTACAATTTTGTATTCTGAGCTGTAATAGTTCAGCTTTAGTCCTGTTGTCTGCATGGCAAGGACAGCAAGGGACATCACTCCTATAATTATACTAGAATTAACATGTTTATACAGAATGTGCAGAAATAACTAATTATAAGTCAAGGAAATTATTCATTTGACAATTAAAGTAATACTTAATATTTTCATATATAATTAAAAGCAATGGATTATACCTCTTTGATAGACTGGAACTATGCACATAAGTAACAGCTGTTATTGTTTTTATTCCCTAGTAGGATGTGATCAATGTCCAATTCGTTTGATTTAACGGACGTTCATAAAATTAATATTTAATAACAGATAAATAATTCGGAGATAGAGTTTAGATTTATAAATAAAAAGGTCTATTGAGAGAGTTGTCATTGTATCCTGCAAATTTTCTATTGTTTAACAAAATTTATGAAATTGGCTTAAATATGAGTCTTTGAATATATGAGTGTAAAAAGTCATGAACGAAAATGGACTAAAAGGGTTTTTTTTTTTTTTGGTAATCTTACTTAGAATAACTTTTTTAAACCAAAAAAGCTTCTAATTTATTCATGTTGGAGGTTATTTCCCTTAGGAAGACAGTGTTCATAGTTGTTGCCACTTAAATTTCAAATATATTATGTTAAAATCCTTGAAAATATAAAATTTCTCAAAATCGTTGTGCGTGATGCATGTACTCTGCATGATTGATCTGCAAATATTTACATTTGCAAATATCTTTCTTAGATGAACCTATTGAATAAAAAATATGTTCAATTCTGTGTGAATGTTATTTGGGGGTCAGAGGTCAAAGCGCGACCGAATCACAGAGCGAGGTGATATTTTGTCTTCATATTTCTGTCATGGTGCAAATTTTTTTTGGAATAACGATGAAAAAGATAAAATGAAAAACAATATGGATATTTTTAATCACGAAATGTACAGTTAATCTTCTTTTGATGTGAATAATGTTTTGAATACTGTAATTAGCCTAAAACCGCACCTACCTTTTTAACCCGAAATTCCTTTGGAGTTACAGTGTATGTAAACTAAAACAGGCGATTCCGCTGCTTTTGACTTCAAATATATTGTAAGAACTTATGGAATAGTTAGATTATTCTCAGCAGCGATCATTGTTCGTTCACTATACACCATTACATGTTTACAGATATTTCCTGAACTGGACTGATAAACATAAATGTAAACATTCAAACATTGGAGCGAGATAACTTCTAGGTCATTGCGCATCACTAGATAGAAATACGGTGGCCCGTTCGTGTAATAAATGCAATTTTACTAGAAATTTATTCGTCTCAAATGTAAATATAAGTAATAAATAACAATGTTAAAAAGTTCACCGGGAAACGATCTTTTAGTTGGTACCTTATCAAATCTACTGAGAAGCCCTTCGGGCTTCACAGGTTTGATCACGTGACCAACTAAAAGTTCATTGTTATTCATTTCTTTAGAAAATTCCACGGTAAATGAATACTTCCTGGAGCTTTCAAAAAAATATAAAATAATGCAAAAGTCCAATCATGACGTCAAAGTTAGCATTTTAGAGGTTATACGACAAAAGATTTGCAATTTCCTCTTTCATGGAATTCCTTTGATTCAGAAAGAATGAATATAAATTTCTTTATTCACTTCATATTTTTTAGAATATACAGGGCTGTATTTGTATTGAAATTGTATGCATGTATTGATACATTAATCTCCTTGATTGGCGATTAATTATGAGTTAACATACTGTGTTAATATTTAACTGTGGCAAAACTATAGTGCTGATGATTTAATTGTAGCACTAGGGAATTTATCTGTGGCGGTCCAATGGTGATCCCTGTATATATACATGTATATGTATCCAGTGGTCATATTCCTGTAATCTATCAAACGTGTTTCTTGTAATCATAAAAAAAAACACACAAAAATTATTCGACCAAAAGTATCCAAGTCAATTTCTGTCACCCGTACCTGAAGATATATTTTATGACATAATCAATCTTTATGTTCCTTTGTTATATCTTTTAGTACAAAGCAAAAGCAATTTAACATTTTTTTTGTGAAAAAGTATAACAAAAAGAACATCACCATTGATATTTAATGATTTTCATTTATTCAAGTATACTACGAATAGCAAAAACATAAATGGATAGGGGTAAGAAGAGTCTTTAAAAATAATCTTCTATAGATCTTTTTATTTGGAGAAAAAATCATATATTTAAAAGCTACTGTTCGTAAAATTTTTATGACCAATGTGCATTTCGTTCAAGTAGGTCATGTGCACTTATATATTATAAATCTTTTGTACGTGCATTAGTCTACATATTGAAAAACATATTGAAATCAACAAAAAAGTCTTGCATTTCCATTCATGGTCACTGGTTCAACGTATTCTCCAACGTATACCGGAGAACTGTATAGGGGATTTCCGTTGTTTAGGGGCTAAAACAGAGTAAAGATATAGTTGTACTTCTCATTATGATTCCCACATATTCAAACAAAAAATGTATAACCCACCCACCCCCCAGCCAATGTCAGGAAAAATATGAGGTCATGATCTTTAATGTGCCTTATTGGCAAATTAAAGGTCAAATATCAAGGAAATAGATATACTTGTATATTATATACAGCGGCGGATTATAATATTATAAACAAAATGGCGTTCCAATTGCAGTTAAAAAGAAACGTTCACTCTTATCTATCTGTAACTCCTCTCAGTTTGCATGTTTAAATAAAAAGGGCACATGACTGGTTAAATGACGTATTATGTTACAATAAGATAAGACGTATCATGATTGTGATGCAATAAATTACGTCATTCTGTATGTAAACAGAGAATGGGAAAGGCGAAAGATTTATCACCAAGGTTAAAACAAAGGATAGTAAATAGTTTTCACAGAAATTGCAAAGTGCCTAGGATTAAACCGATGTACAGTTTGTGCTGTGATAAGGCGATATCAGGAACGGGGTTCGGTGGAGAATAAGCCTAGAACGGGAAGAAAGAAAAAACTTAGTGTACAGGTACGGTCAATTTTGAGGTTAGTAAAAACACATCGTGTCGAACCTCTGAAAGATATCACTGCCAGATTCAACCAGTTTCGGGGGAATACTGTTTCAGAAGTAACTGTAAAAAGATGTTTTTTCCGAAATAAATACCACAGACGAGTTGTAAGAAAAAACATACGAATCCGAGATGTAAACATAAAGAAACGAGTCGAGTGGGCTAGGGGGAAAAGGCATTGGAAAGTTGATGGTGACTGGAATCGTGTTATTTTTTCTGATGAAAGTAAGGTGATTATTGGAGAAAATAATCGTGTATATGTGTGGCGGAGACCCGGAGAGGAGTGGATGCCGCAATGCATTAGCCCCGGTCGTGGCGCAAAGGTTATATTAGTCTAATGATTTGGGGGTGTATCTGCTGGAATGGACCAGGTACTCTGACAGTTGTCAATGGCAATATCAATGCTGAAAAGTACAGGGAAATAATTGATAATGAACTGTGGCCAGTTGTAGCCCAGCATTTTCCACAGAATGACTTTATTTTTCAAGACGACAATGCGCCAGTGCATCGCGCAAGGATTGTGCTAAATTACAAAACTGAAAATAATATTCGAGGAATGCTGTGGCCTGCCCAATCTCCGGATGCTAACATAATTGAAAACTGTTGGCTTTTGTTAAAAAATCAGCTTAGAAAATGTGCAAACAGAATTACCAACGCAGCGGATCTAGAACAAGAAATTCGAAGAATATGGACCACCATCCCAATTCATTATATACGGAACCTTTACAGATCACTTCCACAACGAATGGTCAAGATTATAAGATCAAAGGGGTATGCCACAAAATATTAGGTAAGTTTCATTTATACAAATCTGTTTATAATGCAGAAATCGTTTTTTTATATACCGGATCCGTATGTTGCTAATAACGCGACGACGCCATTTTGTTTATAATATTATGATCCGCCGCTGTATGTTGTAAACAATGGTTAAAAAGAAGGAATTACAATATTCGTTTAATTTTAAACCTCGTTGTTTTCTTTATTTACCTGTTCAAATATCGCTAAAAATAACGTTCATCAATAGAGTTACTTCCCCTTTTTGTGACGTCATTAGAGACACTCGACAAAATCTAGTTACATAAACTAGTAAAAAGTGCTCTTGATTATCTAAAATTATGGCAAATTTTGGGGAACAGAAATGTTGATATATCCGAGTTATGCGTAGATCTGTCTGTTAAGAATAGGCTTTGTATATTTGAGTCAAGATAGTGCAAATTGATTATTCTTCTTTGACCGATTCTGTTTCGTCCGAAGCCGGTAAGGGTGAAAGTGGAAATTAAAATAACACAACTGACAAGGGATCATCGCAGAAGCTAACGAATGTACATACATGTAATTTGTATTTAATGCCTTTTACTGAGTGTGCTCAATATTTCCGCAAATAAATATTTAACTGCGGAAAATTGATTTTATGTGTTGTTTCTTATTCATCATATAGGACCAGGACTTTTACATTGTGAAAAAGTATAGAATTCTTTTTTTTTTTTTACATTGCATAGCCGTTTGAATCGCGCACACAGCTTTTTTTTATGTTAAGTATACTATAATAAACAATGAACGGAACAACAGAAATTACGTCATCGTCGGATCATCCGTGGGAATCCGAAGATGTACATGTAGAGCTATCACAGGTGCTTGGAACCCCCGCCTTCGGTTGTTCCGTACCCCAGTGGTTTTTTTTCTATTTTAAAATAATATTTTTCTATGATATATTCATAAAGTAATACAACCGAAAAATCCTAAATTTAAGGAGAAAGAAGGCTCGTTTAAGCCTTTTATAAATTTTTACTCTCTGATACTAAAACAGAACGTTCTGTTTTAGTATTAGAGGGTATGGATTTTCCCCGTCCCTAAGCACCTGTGGTAACTAAACATTTGTCTGGAACCTTTTTAATTTATGCGTAACAAGTAATTTTTATTTGCCCCCCCCCCTCCCTCCCGAAGTTACATTTCTTTGTTGCCCCCTCAACGGATATTAATTGCTTCAAACAGGTCTGAAAATCTTTGTCACATAGCGCTTTCATTCTAAAAATATTTTAATATGAATTATTTTACCCTAATTTAGTTTAGAAAAAAGAAAACAAAACTATTTTAAGTATACATTCTGATTTCGTATGCTCTTGTGGTAACTATGTCAATACGCCAGCACAAGAGAAAATAAGTGCTGGAGGAAAACAAATCACTTGCGTGCATGAACACTGAGGTTTTATTGTTTGAATAAATATGTAATGGAAACAATTTTAATATAAAAATTTTCTAGAAAAGGGACAACGGGAAGTAAATGAACGCATTCTTGAGTAGCCTAAGTATTTTCTGAGACAGATATCATGCGCGGATTTAGAGGGGGGATTTCCAGGACACACCCCATCCCAACTGAGATTTTTTGTAGACACGAGAACTTGGCAGATAATCAATTCCTTGTCTATAATACCACACCTTCCGTTTTTTGTCAGTCAAGTTTTAAAGATTGTTCCTTCAGAGTATATGAAAATTGCTAGTATTTTTTTAACTCTAGCATGTTAGAGGTTTACGCCGAAATACATAAACTTTTGACTTGGCGCCGCGTAATGTTCAGTCATGTATGTACCGAGTGCATGCTCTTCTGCAAAGGGCCAATCTCTAAAACTTGACAAAAGCGGAAAATATAAAATGTCAAAGTATTGGTATGACAGACAAGGAATTCATGTATATTTTGCTTAGTTTTATTTTCAGTAGGGGTGAAGGGGCAAAGTACATGAACCAATCGTCAGGTATTGGTGATCTTGTTGAGTACTGTAACAAGAATAAAAAAAAAACTTTCCCTAAAAACAGTATTGCAGCTATAAATACCTAAACTGACAAATTGAAAAATGCAATTTAAATTTGAAATAAAACTAAGAAATTCGTGAGATAATTTTACAATTGATTAAAATGTAGCCTTAACTGGTCTATGTAAAATGTCGCTTATATTTATAGTGTTTCGTGTTTATTGGGCTCAAAACCATGTCTTTTTAAATTGAATGTCCATATTTCCCTCATTCAGGTGCGTAAGAATTTAAATATATACTCATGTCTTGTTCCGATTTATTGGTACAGTTAAAAGCCCACATGGCAACTTCTCGCATACAATAATGTTCCAAACACGGCAATGTAGCATGCACTTCCTATTTCACGCTGTCTCTGATGACGTCACGCAACAAGGGAGATAAGCGATTTACAATAAATGATCCACTTGTCACACAGGTAAGTTTTAAACGACAATTAATGATGGAAATTGGTGACAAGAAATTAAATAGAGCTCAGAATGTCATTCATATTGCTCCAGAGGCTGACAACAATGAATAGTTATGAATGTTCAAAAAACTTTTATACTTGACCTTTAAATACCATTTGTTAATTAAGTTCAATTTTGGAGGATGTTTGGTAAATTCATAGGGAAGTATTTAGCATGCAGCATAAACATTTTAGATCTATATATTTTCAAAGTATATATATAGTTTTTATTTCCTGTTTATTTAAAATTATTCCCTTTAGTTGTTTCAGAAAATAATATTAAAATATGAACTTATAATGTAAAATAAACAAAACGAAGCAATTCACTTCACTGTCACATATTACAAATACAATGCGGAATGGCATCCCCGAGGAACCCTCAATGAAGTTCGTTCCCAAGACAGACCAAAGCAGCACTGTTAAGGCTTACTGTGAAGAAAACAATGGAATATAGATGTGAACAAGCTAATTCAGAGAATTCGTGTCCCCCGCTTAGGGAAAAAGTCGGCTCCCCCTGACTGAATTTGTAGAATTATTAAATGTATACATGTATACTGAAGCAAATAAAATACATGTATGTCAATATGCATATAAAGATTTGATTGCTTATTCTTCATTATGTGTATAGAAGATTTCTTTATATGGAATTTTTATCACACTGTAATGATGATTTTATAACCTCATAAATTTTTCATTTCACATGCTGAATACTATCATTTAGTTAAAAAAAAGTATTTAAAAAAAAAAAAGAAAGGTGCGACCGAGATTCGATCCCGGGACCTCTCACACTAGAAGCGAGAGACATAACCACTAGCCCACGGAATCGCTTTAATTGGTGTGAAGTATATGCAGAAGTGAAGTCACATACATGTATATATTCATGTTTTCATGTTCAGTATTCTCAAAATTTTACACAATCCATGGTGTTTGATTTATTTAGCCTTTATTAAACAGTTCTAATAGATGTAATAAGAACATAAAGTCCGCAGAGAACCTGTTTTATACGCAATAACTCTCCTCATGCCCCTGCGCTAAAAATAGCGACATGTAATACTATAAATACTAATAAAACAAACGGGGCGGGGCACTTTGAGAGGGGCGAGAGACGTCCTAGGGAGTTTTGATATAAAATTACATTGCATAAGCTCAAAAGCTTCTTGAAATATCGCCCGGAAATAATAGTATTTCACACAGACAGAATGTATAAATTTACGACCTTGAACTTTGACCTTTTGACCTCAAAATCAATAGGGGTCTTCATTAGGCCACAGGAAGTTGTTGTATAAAATTTCATTGCAATAGCTCAAATGGTTCTAGAGATATCGTGTGGAAACGAAAGTGTTTTAACAGACAGAATTTGCTTATTTATGACCTTGACCTTTGACCTTTTGACCTCAAAATCAATAGGGGTCTTCTTTAGTCCACAGAGAGTTGCTATGCTAAATTTCATTGCAAAAGCTCAAAGGGTTCTCGAGATATCGTGTGGAAACGAAAGCGTGACAGACAGACAGAAAGACGGACGGACGGACGGACGGACGGACGGACGGACGGACAAACCCAAATTAATATCCCCCACTTTTCAAGCGGGGGACAAAAAACGGGATATATTTAAAACTGATTTTTTTGCGTAAAATCGTTTATTATTAGATACTTTAAATACTTATTAAAATAACATAGTATATTGCCCAACTCTGTACGTAGTGAATTAAGTTTGGCCCAATCAATGGGCAGTCACGTGATAAACGCATAGAATGTACTGAATGGAGGTCGAAAACAAATTTTAATACCGCAAGGGCATACCTTTGGTGAAATTAAAAATTTAAGTAAAAGTAAACATTTGTTTCTGTATAAATTAACTATCTAGAAACTGTTGCTGCCTTAAATAGAATTTTCCTTTTATAAGTTAAAATTTCAAGTTATTGGGCTTATGTCGAAATTCATTTGACCTTTACCAAGTATTTAAAGAAAAAAGCAGCACTTTTCACTTTAGAAAAACATCCTTTATTTATATTTCAAAAATGGCTAACATCTATGCCCTTGCGATAATGTGATTTAATATACCACCTCGATGTTAAACTGTTTTAAACATACCGAACCCGTACATATGGTAAAATTATTTACATACACAATCTTGCTGTTAATAAGTAATATCGCGACTATCAATAAGTACCTCGCAGTTATCTAACTTACTACCGCTCTTTTGCGGGGGAGTCGAGAAAGGTCTAAATTTCTGGGGCACATGACATTGTTTACAGTAGTGACAATCAACTGATTCCAACAATTTAATGCCGAAATCACAATGTTTTGCCAGATATTGAACTCCAAATAGTACATTGTCATATAAGAAAAGTTTAGAATATTTTATCTGCTTTAAGATGTGACGATTTTCAATGAAAATTTAACTAGAAGAGTCCGCTTAATTAAAAATATCGTTAAAAATGTAACAATTTAGGATTGGCTCCTCTGAAAAATTTATTAGGCTGGTTCAGCGATTGTTTAGCAAAGTATTCCACCAGAATTTTTTACTTATCTGTCCTTGTAAATGCTAAAATGATCGATCTTGCATTATATTAAATAGCACATTTGCCCCCACCCAACAGACGTTTCCTACCTCCATCGCGAAAGAGTTCCGCTAAGTTTAGTAATCGCGATATCAAGTATTGAATAATCCCACCAAATAAAGGTTATACATTAGTAATAATTAACAGCCTTTCTAAAATATGTAAATAATATTCTGTTTAATAATAAAATGCGTTTTTCTCTGTAAAAATATACTTGATCTACCTCTCACAGCAAATAGATTGAGTCATGTTTACCAAAATGAGGTCATGTGAACAAGTTTGCTGCGATCAGTGATTTGTTTATAAACTCTTGTCTGGGATTTATAACTAGCAACAACTATTTATAATGCATTGATAAGATCTGATGTTGTTAATTATGCTTATAAAGTTTAAAATAGCAGATTTTTGCTTTTCAGTTATTATAATTAATAAAAAATTTTGTGTGATGTCACAGTAAACATTTCCCGTAAAAATTAGGCCCCGCCTCCTTTTTCAAGCCTAAACAATGCTGCGAAGGATTTAAGAATTAAGAAAATGTTGGTCGTGCTTTTAAGGATTTCCATCCCTAATGGGACCAAATTCCCTACCCTTAAATGTCTGTCAAGTACATAATACTCTGATAAGTATTTTATAGTGGAAAAGAACTGACCGCGAGAAAGTTTTTAAAATTTCATTAATTAAGCAGTAGTTAATTAACAAAGATTGCATTGAAGTCTATGGGGAAAAGCGGTTTTTTTTTCAAAGCAAAAATTCAAATAACTTGAATATCAATAAATCCTGTGGTGGAAAGATGCATTGAGACATTAAAAATAGAATGACAATTAAAAACAATTTTTTTACCAGCTAAATTTTTTAAAATGATTTTTTTTCATTAATTAAAAAAAGGGGAGAAAACTCTTACTAAAATTCAAGGTCATAAATTAGGACACATCCCACTATACATACTAATAGTAATATGTGGAAAGCATGTCTAAATAAATGCCTACATATCTGTTATGTATTCAATCTCATTGAATTTGTTCCTATTTGGGATTGAAAACCTTAAGAAACCCAAGAAGCGTAATCAGTTTATTCAATGCTTTCAATTTTTTTAATGATATAGTTAAAGTTTATATTTTTACTTTTAAAAGGACTTATTTTGCCAAAAAGACAAAGCATAATTTAAGATTAATTAAAAATAATGGGGGATTGCTTAGCAGAATGTTAACCTAAATTATCATACCTAATCTTTACGTTTTGTATATAAATGTATGCATAAATTAAAGTGTGATAAGTTTTTCAGAGAACTTTCAAACACCTTAACGTTAACAAAATTTCGTAAACAATCTTTAAAAGACTCATACAAAGTACTACTGTATAAGTGGAAATTTTAGCGAGACCAAAATTTAATGATTTTCCTAAAAAAAATGATATTTATTTTTAGAGAGATGAATATGTAAGCAATTAAAAAATGTTGACTAAAGAAAGTATTACAAATAAAACACAAAATTTTTAGCGATATTTAATTTTAGTGATTTCAGCATCCTCGCTAATAATGCCAAATTTAACTCCTTGCTTAAAATTCTGCTATCAAATGATATATCTTGATTTTTATCTCTCATTCCGTAAAATATGATCGATCTCAAATTAAATATTTACCTTATTATTTCGTTTTTGTTCTGAGATTTCTGAGTACACTGATGTGTCTGCCACTTGTAGTTGTGTTCTGATTAAAGGCCTATCCTGTTCCGTGGTGTATTCAGGCTTTTCTTTCTCTACCCCAGTCCTTCTTCTAAAATCATAAAATAAATACAGAATACAGAATTACCTACATAAAACATGGACACAGTACAGCATAAACCACAATTGGTTTACCTTTTATGGCATATATATGAGAAAGTCATAGATATTATCAGTCCAGACACAAATCCCCCAACAAAGACTGCTGTTGTAAACCACGGAGAAACGTCTTTATCTATAAAAAAATAAATAAATAATACAAGAAATAAATTTGTATTCATTCAAAACTTCCCTTCCAACTGATTTATATTTACCGTTCCCAATTTGCATTAAATTGGATGTAGTAGAATTGGAACCCGTCTTTTGATCATTAAAAGTTTTTACAGCGTTTGAAGATGTCACGTCTAATTGATGAAGATTCGATGTTTCATTTTTAGACGTAGTATTCACTGTATTATGTTTCTGACATGAGCGATCTTGAAGTGAATCATTTTGTGTTGTGGCTTTGCAGAGTAGGCTAACGTTAGATGAATGTAGATGACTACTATTTCCTTGCTGTCTTGGGACATCCTTACAGTCACATCTAATTTCAAAGCATTTTCTATTATTCAGTGAAACAGCACATATTTTCAGTGGTCCTTTCCTTGCAACTTTGAATTCCACAGAGGTTTCACCATTTGAGAAGAAATTACTGATCAACGGATTTTCAGCTTCTATCAAAGAAGAAAAGGAAGCAAAATGTCTTTTTAAAATGACCAGATAATTAATATTTTAGAACAATATTTTGAGTAATTTGACTGTAAGGGGTAATAATCAAATCCTTTCCAACATTACGTTTATTCCCGAACAATTTATGCGATTGATATAATGTGTTAAACCAAAAACAATGTTTTTTACGCGTTGGTTGATTTCATGATGAATGTTGTATTAGCTCTCACCTGTCAAATTTGTATTTTGAAGTGCCTCTTTTACTTTTTCGATTATATTTTCAAAACTTCTGTAGAATAAGATTAAATTAAGATAAATTAATACAATCAAGTATATATAATATCTTTTGTCAAATTTGAAATATCCCGCTCCCCAGACAGAAATCTTAAGTCTTCTGACTATTATTTTGTTTTAATTTTACAAGTCAATGCAGCTTGTAATGGACATTTATTTTCCTACTTCTGTTCAATCATGCATCTGCATATAATAAAAAGTTTTTCAGTCTTTAAAAAGGGTCTTGTAAAAATGTATGACCCAAATAAATGTTTTAAAACGAATACAAATAAACATTTAACCTTATACTTAATCTTTTTTATACGTAGAAAATTCAAAACTTACACTATCTTCTTCGGACCATTACGATGAAAATCAAGCGGATGATCGCAATTTGACGCAATTGTCAGAGAAGATGAGATGAAAACTGAAAAAATAAATAAAAGAAGTCAGAATAAGGATCACAAGTATCACTAGTTTTCATTCTGAGCATGTAATTCGTTTCTATGTGAAACTAATAAAGAAAGCAAAACTGATTTGCTTGTCAAATTGCATACTGACGTTTTATTAATATAAAATTAAGTTTTGAAACAACCGATACTTTATTTATTCCCAATGGTTATCAAATTAAACGTTAGTTTTTGCTTTTTACCATACTTTGAGTTTTTTTTTCTAAAAATGGTAATGTTAATCATCAATAAGAAATATATTATGAAAAAACTTACACATTAATGATACAGCAATCATTATTCCCATAAGCTTTTTCAATCTATTCAAGAAATCCTACAGCATGGAAGAAAGCACTTTTGCTCCTTTTGAAATTTATACTTTTACAACAGAATTTGGACTCTGTCATGTATCAGTTTCTAGAAAGACAAATTCATATTAAACATCAATCATAAAATATTTTTGAACTTTGTTTCTTTATGAAGTACATACATATAATCAACTTCCTCAAATGTTTAACATGATAAACATGGTAACACATAAAAGTGAATAGTCAATACGTTTTATATGTGCAGTGTATATTATCTAGAGTGTTTTTTTTATACATGATATAATACATGTTTTTTTTTATACCCCATGATCTCTTTCATAAGCAGTGCCGTTCTTAGAATTTTAGAAACCAATCTTTAATTTTCCCAAACGTCCTTTAAAGCTTCAAATCTTTAATGCATACATCACACAGTTTAATATTTTAACAAGGAAATTTGTCTTCCTTAATTGTTGAAAATAGCTAAATAGCTGATACGTATGCCAATCATATCTTAGGCAAGTCGACCATGCTCGCCATCATTACTGATTCATTCTGAAAGGTAAATAATAACATACCTAATTCTGCTCATAAACACCGGATACAAAGGTATTTTTGTATATTGAGAACGCTGTGTGACATGCTCAATCCTTATAGAAGTGTGACTAGGTTTATGATTATAGTTTTTGACCCCATCGTCAATAGCCTTCTTCCTCTAACCTACTTAGAATATTTTCCTCTGTTACATTTACCACAGATGTAAAAAGATAAATGTTTGATGGATTAGCTAATACTAGAGTGAAATTTTACTGTTTGACACCACTGTTACAACGCACTTTGAAAAATTACGCACTTTGAAAAAAATTTTCAAAGTGCTTTAAATTTGGGACCAAATGAACGCACTTTAAAAAAATAAGATTTCTTTTCAAAGTGCGTTAACATCGACCATATTATCACACTTTGAAAAAATATGTATGACTTGAATTTGTCAATATTCTTGCAAATCTTGGGTATGATAAATAATTGAACCTGGATAACTCTTTGGAGATGAGGTCACTTCAGGATGTGAAAGTGAGCGATTTTGATTTTTCCATACTTTGAAAATTCTATCTCTCTTAAATTTTTTAAATGTTTTACTTAAGTTTTACAGTTTGTATGCATTTTATATGTTAACTAAAATTTATTGAAAGTTTTCAACGTCATACATGTACCAGTTATGCAAATACATAAATTTGGGTGTAACATTAGCATCGGCACCGGGAAAGGAGGGGGATCTTAGGAACTCAAATGTTTTGTAAAGATAAATAGGCATTGAAAATCGGGGCTTGTTTTTGAAGGGGGGGGTGTCCACTTTCAATTTGCTACCGACGACTATGTACAATGTATAAAAAAGAGTTGGGCTGAGAGACCTTCTACTCGCCTTCTACTTGTTCCCATTGGGGTTAAATGAATATATACATGTAAATTAAAATGTTTTTTCGAAAGATATAATTAATAAAAGTTGATTCTCTCAATTACTAAAACCTAAGTATAGAGTTTTTTTTTGTTTTATACATATTTTTTTTCAAAGTGCGTTATATGTCCCAAGGTAAAAAAATGTTTATGTACACTCTTAACGCACTTTGAAATATTTTTTCAAAGTGCGTTGAGTGTTGCCAAATTTAGCGCACTTTGAAAAAAATTTCAAAGTGCGTTGATTTTTTTCCAATTTTAACGCACTTTGAAAAAAAATTTCAGAGAGCGTAATTTTTTCAAAGTGCGTTGCCACACACCACACGTATGATCAAAACATGCCTACCCAAGTGTAATCAACATACTGACGGCGATTGCTCTAATTCAACAGCCAAGTGTCGTTTCTAATCGGGAGTTATAAATAAATTCTAGATCTACAAAACTGATATTTTTGTGAACTTTTCAATTCATCTATTATCACTTTAAACTGATGTAAATGGTTAAAATACAATAAAAATCTCCAAACAGGGTATAAAACCCTAACCCCGGAAATCTGAGACGTAGAATCTGGTGCCTTCGAGGAATAAGCATCCCCTGTGAACTGGTCACACCAACACGCCATAAGTATGGATCAAATAGTCGGAATAATTCGTAATTGAATGTTTTTTAAAACATTTTATTTTCTTTTACGAATATAGTATTCTCTCTTTTGTAAAGCATTTGCTTTCATGCTGAATCTATATATTAATAGGATACGTGCTGAATTGTCGAACGTCGGTCAGCTAAAAATATTTAGTAGTAAAAAAAATCTCATTAACATTATATTACTTTCCAAAGGATTTGAGAATCACAATGTTTTTTATTGTAATTCTGGCTCGAAGCACCTTTTAAAAAAAATTCCATATATAAAACAATCCTTCAGAATTTTCCTTTCAAATCTAATATAGGCAATTTTTTCTAAAATCGGAGTTAAATTCATTTGGATTGTTCTTCGAAATGGGGTACGTTTAAGACTTTCAGATATCCGCTGTTCCTCAAAATCTTTATGCTGAAATGTATTCAGATTTTAATTAAAACGATGACTTTCTCACCAAAGCACGTATTAATTTAGCTTTTTTGAAATGCACGTATATTGACGCAAAATGTTTTTTTTTATCTCGTTCTTTTTTTTTTTTTTTTTGGCATTGGCATTAAGCCTGAACAGGAAGAAAATGAAAAAAAAAATAGATAAGATAAAATTAAAAATTCTGATTTTGTTCAAATATTGATTTAAGCACTAAGTTTAATTCGATGATTCCAATTGGCTTTCAATTTTTTTTTCAAGTTCCAGTTTTTATATAAATATGTAAATTAAAAGGCATTATATATTTATGGTTCCTGAGCTTCAACATCAATGAATTAACAAAGCATTGAAATGAAAATGTAGCATAGGTAGCATTTTTAAGGATTTTTACATATACAGTAAAATTTGTCTAATTCGGACTCTGAGTACTCCGGATTTTTGTCCATTCCGTCTATAAATTTTAGTCCCATGCACTTCTTTAACAAATTCATTAGAAAAAATTCTGTGTACTCCGGATACTGTCTATTCTGTATTCCGAACGGCCATACCGGTCCCAACTGCTCATAATTAACGGTAATTATTTCCTCTAATCCGGCCACACCTGAGTTACTTCAAAGCAATTAACACCTTTCGTGGTGGATGTGATTATCTGTGTTTACATTACCGGTGCCATGAGACGAACGCAATCAAAATATAAATCGGGATTGAAAATCGAACGCATTTCAAAATGGCGCCGTAGCACTGTTGTGGAAGACGTAATTTTTTACATAAAAATTAAAAGTTCAATCCAATAATTAGTACTTCGTAAATAATTGTGCATTACTGTTTTTACATAGAATGAGCTCTTTGACAAGCTAAACCTGGTCCGCTTGATTTATAGTAGGCCTATATTATGCGTGCCTGTAGATTTTGATTTATTAGAAATAGCTAACATTTCACCCGACTTTCAAACTTCGTGAACAAACAAGAAAATAAAGTAAGTCGTATGAGACTATTTTATAGTTTCCAGACCCCAAAATATTGATTGATTTCATCATATAATTATATTTTATATTATGTAAATATGATGCACTTGTAAATAAACAACAAAATTTTCAAAATTAATATTTTCCTGCATTTTTCCTGCACTCCGGATTCTGTCTAAACCGGCCAAATTTTATGGAACCGGTGGTAGCCGGTTTGGACAAATTATACTGTATTTCTATTTTAAGGTTGTAAAGTTAAGTTGATGCCATAATTGTCGTCGCCTCTACATTCTAGGGGGATACCGTCTTAACCAATCCATATGTCTTTGGAAACGTCTCAGCGCTAGTGGATTTCCAAAGTACGGACATCGTGCACGAATGCCAGTTCCTCTCAGACTCTTGCGAACAATTCGTGCACTTTTATACTGATTTCTTCATCCAGTAATTGTAGCATCTGTTTGTATAGCGCAGGTGCTGAAGGGGGGTCTTACAGTCCTGTCTGGGTGTTGTAACCCGCGGACTGCCAGTTTTGTTGTCTATCAAGTGTGTATCTAACTTGTTGGAGACGTAAGTTTAACCACTGCAAAGCTGATTGATATATACCAAATGCAGTGGCAACGTCCTATTGCGTAGCTCCTGTTATCATCATCACTAGCCCGGTTGCGTTCATCTTTGTAAAAGTTTGGCAATACAGCATCAACATTTCAATAAAATCTTAAATATGGGTTGAGTAGTACTGTTTATTTTTCTCTAAATCCAGAATATCAATAAAAATAGACCTTCGATTTACTAGAAATAATGTAAAACACTATTTTTCATAAACATAATTAATCAATTAGGGAAATAATTCAACACTTCGGTTTTAAAAGCTCATGTTGTCCTTTAAATAGGTCACAGGTATCCAATGATAAAAAAGATAGTTGTTCCATATACTTTTTCAAAATTTCTCTCTTGAGTAAAAAAAAAATGCGTTTCTGTTTTTGTTGAGTATATTTGAAAATGAAGACCCTCAAACGATCATCTCTAACGTGTCAAAAGTTTCTTTAAAATATCCCTGCTGAACTTTCAACATGTTCAAATTGGCGACATTACTTTATTTCTACTATGAATTCTTTTAAACAATCTTGTGCTAAAAATAACAAAAAACCCTGAAAACTTTAATCACACTGTATATCGAGTCTGTATAAGAGCCCAGTGGTAACAGCCCTAGCTATGTATGTGATTTACTCTGAAACTGAAAACGTAGATGTTAAAGGATATCACTTTTCTATGGTGTTTTAGTATGAGGAAGTTACTTTGTGTAAAATTTTAACATGCCTCCTTGAAATATAATTTTCCTTATCTAGCCGTTTTCCGAGTTATGCCGGAAAGCCGTGTCATCCTTTTTTATCAAGCCGCATCAAAAATGTTCCTCGACGTTACTTCCTGTAATATTTATTACATTATATTTATTAAATACTCCGATCTTATTTCATTAATTTGTTTCTGTCGTGTATATTTCCTTTACATACCAAGCATAGCATTGTTATGAGTGTAGACCTCAATGTGTTACCCTTTTTTATTCAACACGATTTAGGAACATCTCAACATATATAAATTTGCATAATTAATATAGCCAATGCATGTGTAAGTTGCAGGATAAGAATAAAATACTAGTACATAAAAACCTCTCTTGAAATATATTTATGCGAAAGTAGTGACTTAAATCGGGATCTACTAAATGCCGGATGCTAATTGAATCCTATATTACATTTCCCTTTTGAATAAGACAAATCATGAATCTGAGCATGAACATTTTACCCATATGTTTAGGAATATAATTTATGCAGTCATAATGAATGTTTTTATTTTTCAAAATACAAGAAATCAAAATATATTATTTACAACAAAATAGTATTTGCTTTTCTCTTATTTCAAAAATATTACAATAATTATTTTGTGAATAGTTTTTTCTCTTTTTTTAAGGTGTAGAGTCTAAGGATTAGAAGGGAAGACAGTGTCTATTCATAATATGAATGATGACGTAATTAAACATGTAGTGATCATTGCAAAATACCAATTTTCCCCGTGAGTATTTTGGTCCTGAACAACCAATGCTGTTTCTACGTGCCCTATACGTGCATCATTGACACGAGAAAGAAGTATGCACTGTTTGCATCCACATAAATAGAAAAATCCACGGTTATTTTGTTGAAAGTTGCTCCAGTGGCTAAAACGAATTATGAAAAGTAAAAAAAAAACACATTAGCTTCTATGAATAAAAAAGCAATTAATTCAAACCTTTAATCAATCTTCTACTTTTGGAAGAAGCTTTTTTTCAGGGATTATGTTTGAATAATTTCCTGGTCGCTGCTCGCATTTACATGTATTGGTATATACGGGTTGATTTGTCTGAGTTGTGCGTAAAACATAGTATGGTGGTTCCTCCTCACTATAATCATCGCTAACATTGCACAGGTTTGAAGATCTATGATTTGTTTCTTGTGGTAAAAAGATTTCACGATTTTCTGTGGAATTCTCGATCAAGATTGTGTAATGATCAACATTTTCGTCACGAGGACCAACTAGATTTGCACAATCCTTTTCATTGACATGATGGTTTTCTTTCCCTACTGCGCAACCTTCGTCTTCTTTTTTCTCAATTTTGTAAAGATCGTTATCCACTTGACATTGCGTGTAATAATGGTGAGTGGTAGGTTCCAAATATTCTTCACTTTTTAAAGCTTCAAAACATTGTAGTGGATGTGAAGTTTCCACAAAGCTTGGACTGCTGGGGCTTTCTTTCACAGTCACAGATTGTACAACATGCGTTTTACCATGTTGATCAATAACACACAAATCTCCATCTGGATTGCAAGCATTTTTCATTCTCTTTTCTTCCAATACTGCTTCCTCTTCCTACAAATTCCGATTTTAGATTTGTTTAATATTCTTACATTACAAAAGAATACGTGCATCATTGTTCATAGATGTGTGTTTAGTCTACTTACTTCAATATTACTATAATTATTAGGGATTTCAGAATATTCAGTAATTTCCTTAAAACTGATTTCTTCGTCGTTTGTCCTTTCCCGATTATATACCATGTTACGTACCGATAACATTTTTGGTCTTTTAGATTTTCTACAAGTCAAAACAATATCATTCCATGTAAGAAATTTTAAATAAATATTTCTTGTGGAGATTACTTTTTATGTACAATTGACTTGCGAAGGCACAAAGCATTTAATGCTAATATAAGCAGATCATTTTTATATAGCTTCACCTAATAATGTAATTGTTACACACATCGTTGTAAGAAGTATCATCATACATAAATCTGTGTAAACATCTATGCTTTATACAACAACAGAAAAAATAGAATTCTTACCTTTTAAAATATGCTACAGTGACACCTATTCCAAAGAACAATCCCAACAGTGCTCCGCCGAAGAAAAAGAGAACGTTCATGACCATTTCAGTATCTAAAAGTGTAATTTTAACGTTATCAAACGTAATTAAATTTCGTCAAAATAAGAATTTCAAAAACATAAGGACATGATTTTTATATCAAGTACAAACCCATTTTTTTACACTGAATTGTTTACGGAATATTCCGTTTGCCCGAGCATGACAAAGAGCACACCGCTGGCGTGATCGGTCGACAGGTTCTTGTATGCTCACTCCTACATGGCATACGATCCCACCTTTGATTTTTTAGCAATCCTGTTTTTTTGCTCTTGATTTGATGCTTTAATGGACTTGGAAGGTTCAAATCAGTTTGTTATCTCAGTATTTGTACCATGCATCAGATGCACTTGAATTTTGATAATTGATAGCGATATCAGTACCATGAAAATACCGTAATCAAAATGAAGTAGGAAAATTAAGTATTATGTTGTTGAAATATAAATACTGATGCGATTTGTTTGCAATTTTCTGAAAAACGGTGTATCACCCAAGACTAATTTTTAATTCAGCACGAATCGAGCAATATTTTCTAGGCAAATGACAAATTGAACCAGAACAACGTTGTTTTGCCGAAATCCGATGACTTTTAAAAATACTTGTCAGGTGTATAAAATTATGAGAAAATCACTGATTCTTTTTCATTTAAAAATCAAGAATTTACTCCCATGGGATGCTGACTCCTAATGGCACCTGATCCCACTTCTGATGTTTAGGAGGTCCGTGTTTGCTCTGCTCCTGTTTTGTATTGTTTTATGGACTTTGATAATAGATACTGTTTGTTTTCTCCATATTCTTTCATCACATATAATTCACTTCATCCGTGGCGTCTCCATATGAGTGAAATATCCTCGAGAGGAACGTTAAACAACATACAATCAATCAATTACCCATGCACAGAAGTATACAGAGAGTATAAAAATCCCAGGATGAATTGTGTCAATGCAGTACCCTGTTACATGGCAACTTGCCTCTTACTCTGTCATCGAGTTATCTATTTTCTAGTTTGAAAAATAAAAAAACAAATGTACCCAACTTCCATAATCGCTTGATTCCTCCCTGCTCAATGACCGTAAGTGTCGAGTACAGGACAAAATTTGCAGCTCTCCATCGCCAAGTGGTGGCGGCTCAATATGAATGGTAAATTCTCGAGAGGGACGTTAAACAATGTACAATCAATTAATCAATCAAGCTAAAATTATTTTCTGTTAAAATGCTTTTCAATACTAGTGCATGTCATGACATCATGCAAAAATGTTGTTCCCATACCTCTATTTTTTCTATTTGTGCATAAACGTTCCTCTTTGACTGAAGTATTTTCCTCCTTGAAACCATTTTGTGTGACAACGTTTGTACAGATGATATTTTGGTTGAAACTGCTGACTGTTTTATATTGTAGATATTGCTTTGTTGATTTTCTGAGCTCACAATGTAAATCATCTTTATCCCGATCACCAATTCTATCTTCATCTTTAGTCGCATTCGGAAAAATTATTGACGGAATTTCTCGTTTTACTTGCTTTTTCTGACAAGAACAATTGGATATGTAACAAACTTCCGATCTCCCTACCAATATGCAAAGAAACATCACACCTTTTTCGTTTTTGTCTAGGACAGTAGAAAGTTTACAGTTGAAATCTTTGGAACATTTGTCAAGATGAATTTTCAAACTTTCATCTGAAATTTTGAGAGGGACAAGTAAATAATTATTGGATTATCACAAATCTATGTACGTTTTAGGGGGAGAATAATATCATTCCATTAGGTGAATGAATATAACAGCATAAAATAACAAGTACATTGTATCCCTATGTCTTGTATGGAGGAAAGTAAATATCTTTTACAATATGCACATTAATTCAAATTAAGAAAAATTAATAAAAAATCTCTTTAAAACACCATCTTTCTCTTTCAAGACCTCTTAATATATGCTTAGAAAATGTTTTATGCAAACAACATTTATTAAAGAAATTAAATATCGTATAAATCTGATGATTTTTTAGTGGGGGGGGGGGGTGCACACTACTCCATGGCACCCGATCCCACCTCTTATATTTTAGAGATTTGTGCTTGCTCTACTTGTTACTTGTTTGATGGACTTTTGAGCTTGAGTACTGTTCGTTATCACGATATATTTCATTTTGTTTCTTTCTTTTTATATCTGTTAAACTATTGGTAAATTAGTTTTAAAGGAATTTTGATATATCTTACCTTCTTCATGACTATTTAAAAAAACAGTGATTATATTTCTGAATCCATTGAGAAATCTTCTGTAAAATTCATTTATCAAAAGTAAATTTATACTTGAATTCATAATAGACTTTTGCGAGAAGCACTGGCGTTTACAGTTGACGGTTTACTTGACATTTCAACCTGTATCATGTACGGAGATACAGCATTAATTGATATTAATTGATAAGATAAACTTTCTAGTGGTCAAAGGTAGTACTAGTGTCTCTAATGTTGTTAGAGGCACTAACATGTAAAGGCCGGGAGTTGAGGGTAGTGTGGTTGTCGTTTTCTTTAAGAACAACTGATTTATGATTTGAAAAAATTTGGCTGAATTAAATGTTGAGCAAAATCTTTTTATCGTAAAAGAGCTTCCACACATTGCTCTAGTGTAAAAGTAAGCTGTCAACTGTAAAGGTCAGCGCTACTCGCAAAAGTCCGATATTACATCTCCATAAAAAAATAAGAAAACATTTAAATGAATGGTTTTCGTAGAAATAATATTAGTATTTCAGTTTAGAACAAACAAAAACTCTCATACCCAGTCTCATCTGTTGCATTGCCTGATAATCCAAAATTTCTTTTCCAAGGAAGGGCACACGTATGTTTTGAATTAGTAACACTTGAGGTGGCATTGTAGAAGACATTAAAACCAATAATCCACACTAAAGATTAGAAAAATGTAATCTTGATTTTAAGAAAAACTATCCTTATTTTCTTTTACAAGTTTGAAAGAATAAATATAACTCAACACGCAAATAATACAATGACACAATACTTTACCGAAGAAGCCAACAAATCGGTTCAATATTGAAATCATTCTTCAAATCTGCATCCACTTTTAAATTCGTCTTCTCGCTGACAAAGTTGATTTGTTTTGAATACATTTAGTTATTGACACAAATATTTATTAACTTATCCGATATCACATTTTTAAACATTGTATAGGAGGAAGCAAACCCAATTCATTTATGATAAAAAGTCGAGTGGCCTGAATTCCTCACTCAATATTTCCGAATTGCCCAAATGAGGAGAGCGACATTTTTCTATTACTTATAGTTTCAAATCATTCTAGAGGTAAATTTGAATAACACGAAATAATCAAAATATATACTGCCTAAAATTTAATACCTGTAATGTATGTGTATTCCTTAATTGTCTTCTTTTCATACGCAACCCACTGCTTGGTGAACCACTCTTTGTCCCTGATGGTAAACTTAGTAGACAACAACCTAATTCACAATTCTATACTGTAGTGTAAAAGTATAAAATCTATGAAAGAGCCTAAATGGGGTTTATTTAGATCCTTGTGTAGCAATCTTTATGTGAGCGTATCAAAGGATCTGATTTTAATCGGATTGCGTTTATCTTACCTTCGTATCGGTCAATTTTTAGTGTATGCACGTGGACTGCAGCTGCACAAGCACCAACGTCCGTGACTGTGTAATAACTGCGTGTTGTCAGAATTGTTCAACACCAAATATGCTTTCAAACGTTTTTATTTTATCACAAAACTAGAGATACTTTTATTGAGAAATCCTTTGGTTTTTTTTTTTTTTTTTTGTAATAGGCTTTCGGAAATATCCAATGGATAAAGAGACTATGCCAGGGCATCAACAAAAGCGGGAAACATGGAATAATTTGCATAACGGTAGAAACCCGCTATTGTTGATGTTCCTGGCATAGTCTCCTAACTAGACAGTGATTCCTTATATTTTCATTTTTACTTGAAATAACAATCTTAAAATAAATCAGAATACCGACAAAATTAGTAGATGTTTAATGCACGAGGCATTCCATTTTATTTAATTGCTCCGCCCCATGACGTCAAATTTTTCTATAAAAAATGGTCCCATGAAAACACGAAACAATTTAATAATTGTTCAGTTATTGTAGTTAATATCAACATTTATGAAATAAACAACAAAAGAATTTTAAATTATGATCAAAGCAATCTTGTTAACGTTAATTATATACGTGACCTTAATTTAGGTTGTCGGAAGAACAAGCACGTGTGTAGGCCACTTCTCCGCCGCCATATTGAATGCAATGTTGCAGTTGATGAAACGGGAGTCAGGAAAGCGATTTGTGAGGATGTTAAAATAGCAGAGGAAGTTGAGTTACATACGAATGTTAAAATAGCAGAGAAAGTTAAGTTGCTTACGAAGTCGGTGGTAATGACTGAGGGACGATGTCTGTATCAGGTAATGGAGCGTGACTGTGCCAATTTCTCCACGTGCTCCAGATAAGCTGTTTACGGAAGTGGAGTTCCCTAGGCCTCGCTAATAGTGAACAGCGTTGCGCTAGCGACTTGCTCCGAAGATAATTCATTACTTATTTTGTTTGTAAAATGATATATCATATCTAATTACTAAGTAGACAATTAAACAAGCCATCTATTTTTTTTTCTTCAGTGCATTTATACCCATTCATATGCACGCAGGTTGACATTTGACCTTTCAGTAGTATATATATATATACATACAACAGGTATTACAACGATATTAATAAGATGGACTTTTGTAGTATTTATCACAGAGAAAACAATTGGAAATGGAAATATTTTCATATGATTTCCATTTTGTATACCACTGACTTCAGGACAGCATTTATTGAACGGCATCGTATTTATGTTTTTTTTTTGTTAATATTGTCCAAAGCCTGAATAATATGTGTCCGGTATATGAAATTATTGAATTTGTCACTAATTATAAAATTATCAATCAAAAAGCAAACCTTCCATTGAGGTCTTATGATAGAAAAGTATCTTATAGATGTTTATCTTGTGCTCATACTAAATAGTTTTTTTAAATTCTAATAATAAATGCGGCTGATTTGTAAAGATCATTCGGTACTTTAAGGCGCTCATTTAAGTTCCAATTATATTGTCCTAAAATTTGTTGCTATATGTTATGACATCAGGCAATAATTTTGTTTCCATACCTTTATTATTTCGATTTTTGCATACACATTCCTCTTTGACTGAAGTATTTTCCTCCTTGAAACCATTTTGTGTGACACCGTTTGTACAGATCACATTTTGGTTGAAACTGCTGACTGTTTTATATTGCAAATATTGCTTTGTTGATTTTCTGAGCTCACAATGTAGATCATCAATATTCCGATCACCAATTCTATCTACATCTTTAGTCGCATGCGGAAAAATTATTGACGGAATATCTCGTTTTCCTTGCTTTTTCTGACAAGAACAATTGGATATGTAACAAACTTCCGATCTCTCTACCAATATGCAAAGAAACATTACACCTTTTTCGTTTTTGTCTAGGACAGTAGAAAGTTTACAGTTGATATCTTTGGAACATTTGTCAAGATGAATTTGTTTTTACGATTTTTTTCTTATTGTAAACATGATGAAAAAGTGTAATATAAATATAAGTATATGAGTTGTGAAAAAAAGTGTCCAATTAGCCGCGGGGTTGAATCTTGAATGTCGGGGGGGGGGGGGGGGGGGTCCTGTCCAAAAGTACATCTGCTTTCTAAGAGATATCAATCACAGAAACAAGTATAAATGAAAATCATTCAAATGTATTTACAGTTAATGTTACATTCTAAAAAAAAAATATGCACAAAAAAGAATGTCATTTTCAACCAACCTGGTTATATGATTTTTTTTTCTATTTTATAGAATAAATAAAAAATAATAAAAAAATTTATTTCTCTGTGTTTTTTGTGTAACAAGTGTTTTTATTATAATTATGAATAATTGTCACAAGCTTATTAACTTAAGACACTCTATCAAACTCTATAAAAAAGTATTCATTCTCTGAAAACCTTAAAGTTTGTGCATGAGTTTGTTGTGTTAAAGTTTGCATTGTAAGTCGTATCTTCTTTAATTTATTTTAAAGCCTCTTTTAAGAAATGTTTTCTACATGTATAACAATATTGTCCTTTGTATTTTCTTAATACCTTAAGAGAGATTTTTAAGATGCACAAGTTTGTAAATGGTGAATGAAATGTGAATTAATGTAATAAACGACAAGAACAAACGAAAAGTTATTGTATCATACAAACGCAAAAAAAGTAGATAATATAATGTAGGCTTTTAAAGAAAAGACAAAAAATATAATATTATGTACATCATACATTATAGTATATACATGCATTATTTTTCTATATATGTAGAACTCTAAACTATAATTATTATATTATTTATCATCGTTGCCCATGTCATTAGATCTAATTCATGAATGTGTTCCAATCCTATTCCATGCTGATTCAGGAAGGTAACTAAGAACGATAGTTTGAAGGTGGAACCCGTCACTCTTTAATTTGCAATGGTATTCAGAGTCTCATATGGAGACGGAGATGACATTTGGTCATACTTAAGCGTTTCATAATGCAGAATGGATGGGTTGCTATACTCAGCTGCACTGGAGTCGGCAACAATGGAGGGAAAACTAATAAAAAGAAATAATGACTACTGTTCAGAATTTCAATTTCTTCAGAAAGTGTGATATTGTTAATCAAAATCCGAGATATATTTATTTGTGAAAAAGATATGTATGTCTAAAAATATGTATCTAGTTGTAAAAGATATATTAGTACCAGAAGCATATTAACCTGTAATACGCTATTATATATTTTTTTTTGAAATTTATTTTATGTTCTAATGACATTTTCACGATTAAATACTGTAAACAGGGAAATTGTCGCCCCATTTATTTTCGACCCTTTCGCCCTGCCACAAATGGGCGAATTGAAGAGTTATACGGGTCGAATTCAAAGAACACAGTTTAAATTCTGGGCGAAAATTAAAAGGGGGCAAATTTGTAAGCAAGTGTAAAAGGGCGAAAATAACACGGGGCGAAAATAACCCTGTATACAGTACACATGTGTCATCTAAAGTATATACATATGTATAAAATGCTTTCACAGTTTTGACTTTGCATATCTCCTTTCCATGTTTGATCACTGCATGTACAAATTAATATTATTGTTATTATTTTATTGGGATTTTCTTTAAGATTCTATAACAGAAAGTTACTAAGGTAGTCAAAAGGTACATATCTTTATTTTCCAATATTTTTAGATTGAACATTTTTTCAAAATACTAAGTATATATTTTGACCTCCCCCCCCCCGCCCAAAAAACCCCCAAAAAACTACTTCATATCAACTCTGACAATTTACATATGTCTAGATTTTCATGTGGTAAAATTGTTCGAAGAAAGGAGATTTTTCGAAAGCGTCCGCAATCATATAATTTTTCACCCACAGGTTTCTTAGGCCCTTAGTAGTTAGTAATGCTTGCTGACGAAACTCACGATGACTGAAGCTTAAGTCGACTGATTCCAAAATTAACAGAACATCATTTTTTACAATATGAATTCTTTGAATGATTGTTGCATAAAAAGTGGGGGAAACGGTGTTAGTTGGGGTTGCTTACCAAGATTTGACAACAGGCACATGTTCCCTATTTTTCCTGTAGAGCAGGACTCCAAAAGCAATCAAGATGATACCAAAAAGGACGCACAGACTGATTGCCAATGGCACCATGAAATCTTAAAACAATTGTAAGATAACATTTTTATAAAAAGTATGTATTAAAGTTGGCAAGAATTCCGAACTCTACAAAAGTTACATATTTTGACTTTGACAAAAGAGACCGTGGGAAATTTTTTTTTAATACGAATTTTCATCTTTTAATCTTTTTCAAAAAAAAAAAAAAAAAAAAAAATCAAATGTAAAGTTGCTTTGCAAAACTGAAATTTAATCAAAAATTGCAAATTGCTCAAATGACTCAGCATCTTTTTTGTTATTGAATTTTCAAAAGCATCGATCTTTAATTTATGAGTGCAAAAAGGAGAAGTAACAAACTTAATATATATATTACATGTAGTTACGCTCCCGTAATCAAAGATTCGGGGTTTATAAGTTATTTTTGACATGTCTGTCAGTCTGTTTTGTACG